TAACAGCTAATGTAGGTCAATAAATGTTCCGGATGACTGTTTAACAAAGTTTTACAAGCTCGTTTCATGAGTGAGAGGCTTTTTATTGCATGGATATGGAAGCTCAAATTCTGCCAGTGTGTAGATCGAGGATATTTTAGTAAACAAAAATTAAGAGTAAAACTATTGGTCATGAACATTTTAGTTCACTGAAATAAAATTGGAAAATCACAATAAAGAAAAACTACAAGTAAATTAAACATTTACTGAAAAACTAACTAAAATAAAATAACATTTAGCAAAAGTTCTAATTATAATTATAAATTGTAATTATTTTTTAAACACTCATTCTGAAATCAAATGTAAGGTAGATGGTTTGTGTAGATGACGCTTTTACAGATAAATACAAAAAAATAAAAATCATACTTAAACAAATTAAAAATAGGCGTGTTATAGACTGTATATTATATTTGATATGACAAAGTTTGTCTGAATTGTTCATAATTTTTACTTTTATTTATTTTATTTGCATTGGTATGGTTTTTGTCAACATCTGTCAGGAAGAATGAAGGAAACAAGAACTCAAATGCAAAAATAGATGATTTATTAATAATTAAAATTGAACAAAAGGACAACAAACCCCCACCCTCCGAAAAGGAAAAGACATAACTAGAACACAAATAAGCAAAGAAACTTGGCTGGGCTGGCAAGACAGGACTAGAGCAGGAACACAGGGTGTATTGACGACAAACTAGCATAGGACAACCAAGAGGAGAATATAAAGGAAATATAATAACTAACAAACAAACAAACAAACAAACAAACAAATAAACAAACAGGTGAACCTAATAAACTAATAATGGTTTAACAATTGAGGGTGGGACTTGACAATAGATGGGAGAGCACATGACACACAAACAACACAAGCCATGTGCTCACTCAAAACAAGAATAGAACATGGAGCCAAATAGAGAAATCATTATCGGCGTGTTCACATGAGGACACTAAAGCATGCGGCCACAATGTAAACACCATGCCATGTGCTTAGACAACCCCAACATAAACAGATGCAAGACACGAGCACACAATAAATTAAAACACCTCAACGTGCGCTCACACATACAACGTGTATGTTTCATCTTAGCTCAATCCGAAACCAAAACTAACTAGACTGAGACGCTGAGAATGAAACAGCTCGCTGCAGACAAAACAAACCCAAACAGGAGAGCAAGCGAGCACGAAGCAGACGAACCGAGACTTCTCAAGCAGAGCACGACAAATAAGACAGACAGGACTAGTGTCTGGATTCTGCCATCAAAACAAGAATTGACAAGACCAAAGTGACAGCATCCTGACAGTTTTGGGTTCAGGATTTGGTTGAACAATTTTTAATTATTAGTACTAAGAGAGTTTGCACAAAAAGAGTTAATGTAGTTGATGTGTTAGCCCCGTGATTATTCCCAGCTTGTGGACCTTTTCCAATTCCTACCCCCTTCTCTCTCTCCCCCACTTCACTTCCTGTAAGCTTACTGTTCTGCCAAATAAAGGCAAAAATGCCAAAAAATAATTTCTTTAAATAAAGTTCATGTAGGATGTACAAACAATAAACTTTGCTTTGGTCGACTCCATAAATTAGAATAACTACAATTAAAACTACACTGTAAAACCCAACAGTTAACTTTATGAAATGAAATGAGTGTAGTTAACTCAGAGATGACTGAAAGTTCATTCTACTCATTTGAACAGAGTTTTAAACTCAAAGTTGAAGCTAATGAGTTAATTAAATACATCCTTACTTCAACTTAAATGGAGTAAGTTCACAGTACTCGTATAGATTAGTTTACTCAAATGGCTTGATGATTCGGTTTCCTCAAACGGTTTGAGTTGCCTTAACTTATTGGGTTTTACAGTACTCAGTTAGTTTGAGTTCTCTTCATTTATTGGGTTTTACTGTGCTCAAACTACTTAATTTACTCAAATGCATAAGTTCACAGTACTCATTAAGAATAGTTTTTGAACGTAAATGGTTAGTTTCCTCAAATAGTTTGTTTCCTTAACTTTTTTGGTTTTGGGTTTTACAGTGTAAATATATACTAAAGAAACTAAACTAAAGAAATGTGTTCTGAAAAAAAAAATCTAAAAAAAACATTGATGAATTTAACTAAAACTAAACTAAAATGTACAACAAATTTAAAATAGTATTGAAATAAAAACCTAATTTAATAATGCAAAACTATAATTACCTGGGTGTATAATAATATTGGCTGCACTGTTAAAACAAAACAGTAAAAGTGAGTTACTTTCACTCAAATTTCTCTCTTTAATAGAGACAAACTAATTTGACTCTTTAATAAAGTCAAACTTAATAGAAACCAATCCTAAACTGAGTAGAAGTGGATCACAAACATGAAACTTAATACACTAAAGTTCTACTAACCAAAAATGGCAAGTTATAGACTGTATGCTATATTTGAAATTATGAATTTTGTCTGAACTTTTCATAATTTTTTATTTTTATTCATTTTGTTTGCATTTGTACGGTTTTGGGTTCAAGATGCACAATACGTTTGCACAATAAGACTTCATGTAGGATGTGCAAACACTAAACTTTGCTTTGGTCAACTTTATAAACTATAATAACTAAAACTAAATGTGTAAAAACTAAATAGTTTGTGTTCTCAAAAATAAAAATGAACTAATATAAAATTAACAAAACCGTTAATGAAACTCTAACTGAACTTAAACTAAAGTGTATAGAACATTTAAAATAGTTTTGAAATAAAAAACTAATTTAAGAGTGTAAAACTATAATTACTTGGGTGTAGATACATTTTTGCTGAAAACCAAACAGTAAAATCAATGAGTTTATTTCAGTAAATTCTTTCCCAAACTTAATAGAAAAAAGTTATTTGAACTCAAAATATTTAATATGAAGAAGTTCGTCTGAATTCTATATCATTTTTTTATTTGCATTTGTATGGTTTTGGGTTCAGGATCTGGTCAAAGATTTCATTTTTATTATTATGAGGTTTGCATAAAACTAATTCATGAAGGTTGTGCAAACATTAAACTTTGCTTTATTTGACTCGATAGACTCTGTAAACTATAAGAACTGAAGCTAAAACTGAAAGAAAATATGAAATTTAAATATAAATGGGTTCTCAAAATAATAACTAATCTAAAACTAACAAAACCATTAATGGATCAGACTTAATTTTACTTGAATTTCATTCAAACCTAATAAAAACAAGTTACACAAACTCAAAATTTGATTATAATAAGGTGAAACTAATGGATAACAATTAGTAGTAAGTAGAAACAGTTAGTTTCTACTAACTTAAAGATTTGTTGATTTACTTACAGTGAGTGTCGAGGCAGTAAGTTTCTCCAAATGTTTTGCGTAATCTGAATTGATCAGACCTTAGAGTATGCATGTAGAAATGACATCTATATTATTGTGTTTTGCATGCACAGACATGGAGGTTAAGGCCATTAATAAGCGGGCTTCAGGTCAGGCCTTTGAGGTCATCCTGAAGCCTCCTTCTCCAACAACTGAAGGAGGCTACAGCATCACTTCACCTCCGAAGAAGAGGGACATGTCACTGGAGGACATCCAGAAGAAGCTGGAGGCAGCTGAGGACAGGAGGAGAGTGAGTGACCTGTTCATCTCAATTATACACGACTGTTTTCAAGAAGTCTCGTCGAGGCTGGATTTATTTGATCAAAAATCCAATAAAAACATGAATATTGTGTCATTTAATTATGTGATTCAAAACTAAATTCTTCACAGCGTTCAGTGTCACATGATGCAATCTATAGTAACTGAGTATTTTTTTCTAAGGAATTGTAATTTACTAAGTTGTTTTAAGAATGTGTACTTTTACTTTCCCTTGAGTAAATTTTTAGTGCTGTGATGGTATTAGTGCTGTGATGGTACTTTTACTCCACTGCTTTCCTTCAACCTGCAGTCACTACTTTTTTCTCTTGTCTATGAGGATTAGAAAAATCAGTCCTGTGATTCCTGTCCCTTCAAATTGCACAGAGAAGGTAAATCGTATCATAATGAACTACCTCAAGACATGGGCGATTTATAATAGCAGAAAACTGTTCGAAAGCATTAAAAGCATCTAAGAAGACGTCCAAAATCTTTACACACATTTACCCAGAGACTGTTTAGATGCATGTCACTAATAAGAAAATGACAGATGTTTACTTTATAATGAATGAAATGGACTTAAACACCCAACAGGCACAAGATGTCTACATGACGCTAGTTTGAACCCCGATGTCGTGGGGATGTCACATTTTGTTTGGAAATGAAAATCGGGTAGAGATCAAAACCTAACGTCAGGCCGACGTCAATGTCCAACCTGGAATCAACCAAATATCAACGTCTAATGATGTTGCATCTTGACGTAGTGTGGGCGTTACCACTGTGACGTCATGTTGGAGTTTGGTTGCCATACTTGATGAATAAATGTCAGTATTTGACATCAATATGATGTTGGTTTAAGCTGTTGACTCGATGTTGAATTTTGGTCAATTTCTAACACAACCAAGAATCAACCAAATATCAACGTCATTTGATGTCGTCTTGGACATCAAATCAACGTTGCCTTTAGATGCTGGCTAAACAATGATTTTTGGTCACCTGACATCACAACCTAAATCTAACTAAATAAAAACACCTAATGACGTGTGCCTGCTGGGCAATCACTAAATGCACTACAAAATGTTACTTTACACACAGATCCACAAATTACATGTAAATGCATCAGCTTTTTTTATAGTGTAATACTCACTACTCACTACTCTTGAGTACTTATGAAAGGGCTACTTTTTACTTATACTTTGAGTAATATTTACGACAGGTACTTTTACTCTACTTGTACTACCTTTTTAGGCAAGTAATAGTACTTTTGCTTCAGTATGATTTTTCAGTACTCTTTCCACCACTGTTTGTGACCACAAAATCAGACATAAGTGTGTGTCTTTTTGAAATTTAGATATATATAGCCGAATAGACAAGTTTGTAGAATGTATGGTCGAATCTGAGAGTTTAAAAATTCTGAGAAAATGCATAAAACTAACCAAAAATTATGCTTTGATGTATTAACAGTAGGAAATTTACTTAAGTCTTTATGGAGTATGACCATTACTAAACGCATAATTTTGATAATTTTAATTAATGAATTTTGGCACATAAATAAATATATACAATAAATACGTAATAATTGGGCGAAGCAGTGGCACAGTAGGTAGTGCTGTCGCCTCACAGCAAGAAGGTCGCTGGTTCGAACCTCGGCTCAGTTGCCGTTTCTGTTTGGAGTTTGCATGGTTTCCCTGCCTTCGCATGGGTTTCCTCCGGGTGCTCCGGTTTCCCCCACAGTCCAAAGACATGCGGTACTGGTGAATTGGGAAGGCTAAATTGTCCGTAGTGTATGAGTGTGTGTGTGGATGTTTCCAAGAGATGGGTTGCGGCTGGAAGGGCATCCGTTGCGTAAAAACGTGCTGGATAAGTTGGCGGTTCATTCCGCTGTGGCGACCCCGGATTAATAAAGAGACTGAGCCGACAAGAAAATGAATGAATGAAAATACATAATAATTAATCATTTCTGAATTTCTCCTCAATTGTAAGTTGCTTTGGACAAAAGTGTCTGCTAAATAACTAATTGTAAATACATTGTATATACATTGTAAATCCATTATATAAATTTTATATACATTATAAATTATATATATTCTATATTTTTTATCTCTTACTTGTGCTTCAGTGTCACATATGCTAATTTGCTGTTTTGTTGTGGTCAATTATTAATGTTACTCAATAATTAAAAATGATTATTATAATTATTCATGTTTAATAACCATTTGCAATATTATATTATATTATATTATATTATATTATATTATATTATATTATATTATATTATATTATATTATATTATATTATATTATATTATGGTGGTTCAATAGTCAATACAGGGGCAAACAGATGTACAAAGGAAATCCAGTCGTAGTCAAATATCAGGCGAATGGTCGGTACAGGCAGGCAGCAGGCCATGTAAACAAACAAACAAACAAACAAGGCGAGGGTCAGAGGCATAGGAAGGCAAGGCAAGGCTTCGTAATGTTCACAAATGCAGTATAACAAGACTCAGCACTAATGTGTGTGTGTGTGCACTGCATAAATAGTCCCTGTAATCAGTTCATGAGCAGCTCCCAGCCATGAGTGTGTGTAATCTACCAAATGAGGAACAGGTGCATGTAAGCGGTGCATGACTGGAACTTGTAGTCCATATACCGACGGATATGCAATCCATTAGGGATCTGCACAGGCTGGATTGCTGGTGACCATGATAATAATATTATACAGTATAGACCATTTTAAGGGGTGTAAACAAAAACAATGGTCCCAACATATTTCCTGTTTTACATTTTTAATTTCTGTAGCTTTCGAGAATCCAAAAAGGTCCACATATTGATAAATAATGTTATGACAGCTGTTTCAACATTACGTTATGATTGAATTGCCTCTTGTTACGGTTATGAAATAGTTTAATAATTAGCAGGAAATGTTCATGGGCCAATGACATGACTACATTGAAATGGTCTATAAGAAAGAATCATGTGATACTGAATGCTTAAGTAATAATAATAAAGCTAAAAAATAAGGAATTAATTCCATTTGAAACTAAAGTAAATAAAATGTGTTTTAAATGGAAAGAATATTTCACAACTGTAAAGATTTTACTGTGTTTTTGATCAAATAAATGCCTTGGTGAGCAGAATAAGCTTTTATTTAACATTTAAAATCGATCCCAAAGTTCTGAATGATGGATTGTCTATATATGTCTTATAAAACTAAAGCAATATATTACATAGAAATATACAGATTTTAAAATTTGTTCGTCTCTCTTCTTTGCTTACTCTACTCCTCACTAGTCCCAGGAGGCTCAAGTCCTGAAGGCTCTGGCTGAGAAGCGTGAGCATGAGCGGGACGTCCTACTGAAAGCCATGGAGGAGAACAGTAACTTCAGCCGGATGGCAGAGGAAAAACTGATCCTGAAGATGGAGCAGATCAAGGAGAACCGTGACGCACACCTTGCAGCAATGATGGACCGACTGCATGAGAAGGTCAGGACTCAAAATAAATCAATTACTCATTTTTGTCATCAAATATGTTAAATATACAATAAAAAAAAGGTATCACTGTTAATAATTTATACAATTTATAACAAGTGTTTATAAAAAATGTGTTGCTTCCATCTTCATCTTGTGGAAACTGTGGCTATTCTGTAGCATTGACTAATGAAATATAATTATTTGGTAAAATTACAAATTTAGATATCTTTACTCAGCAACACAAGATATCTTTGCTAGGCCTTCACAGCAAAAAGGTCACTGGTTCGAGTCCTGGCTGGGTCAACTGGCATTTCTGTATGGAGTTTGCATGTTCTCCCCGTGTTCATGTGGGTTTCCTCCGGGTGATCCGTTTTCCCCACAGTCCAAAGACATGCGCTATAAACAAATATGCGTTTTAATTAAATATAATTACTAACCACAAACAATTTAATGTCTTAAAATTAGATTTTATTATTGTTTATATTTATGTTTAGTCATTTAAATATAAACACACAAGTATTAAAAAGGTATGGAAGTTGTCACACTAACTGTTTATGCATCCAACATGTACCTTCTTGAGGATTGTCATTCTATATCTGTAAATAGGTTATAGGAATTAGCTTTTTTTTACAGGATATAAGTTAAAACAAGGCGAGACGGCGGCTCAGTGGTTAGCACTGTCACCTCACAGCAAGAGGGTCACTGGTTTGAGTCACGGCTGGCATTTCTGTGTGAAGTTTGCTTGTTCTCCCCATGTTGGCGTGGGTTTCCTCTGGGTGCTCCAGATTCCCCCTACAAGTCTAAAAACATGTGGAATAGGTGAATTGGGTAAGCTAAAATGTCCGTAGTGCAATTACTAGCAACTAGCAAAAACTAGTTTTTATATTTTTGAGTCTAGAGACTTGAATTGAATGTAGTAAATTCATGGGATCATTTTTAAAACAATGTCTCGTATCATTTGTGAGCTTGTCATATTATATTGTGGTGTAAAATTCGACATTCTACAGAGTAAAACAGTCGTTTGCGAGCTACAAAGTATAAATTAAAGTATATTTCATTGGGGCTGGGGACAGCAAGGTGGTGCAGTGGGTAGCACAATCGCCTCACAGCAAAAAGGTCACTGGTTCGAGCCCCAGCTGAGTCAGTTGGCATTTCTGTGTGGAGTTTGCATGCTCTCCCCGTATGCGCGAATAAGTGTGTATTGATGTTTTCCAGTACTGGGTTGCAACTGGAAGGGCATCCACTGCATAAAACATTTGCTGGATAAGTTGGCGGTTCACTCCAGATTAATAAAGGGACTAAGCCAAAAAGAAAATGAATGAACAATTGGGGCTGGACTGTGATTCTTAAATAGCCTTTAAAATATGATCAAATGATTCTTGTTCTTGGTCTTTTTATTTTGTATATAAACTCTTATCACACTAAACGACATTTTAGTGGCATCCTCTGTGAATCATGGTAAAAGTGTATGATAGTCGTTATCTGTCAAAAATAAACTAAAAAGTAATATTTTCTCCGGAATATACAAATTAAATTTAGCGCTCCCACAAGAGGGCGCTAAACTAAAATAAAACTGTTGATACTAGAAGGCATGCAGTGTTACAAGTCCAGATTAAGTCTATCAAATCTCTAAATTGCTATTATCATACTATTTTGCCCTCCTCACTCTCAAATTCTCTCTATTATATATCTATCCTCAGATCAGATGACTTATTAATATCTCTTTAATTTTTGTTTGATTTGTCCCTCATGTTTATCTTTTTTTAATTCTTCATTGGCACCATTGTAAAAAATCTAATGATTATTATTATAAATGATATGTAGCAATGTATCATTCTGTTATAAAATAAATGTTTAAAAAAAAGTAGAAGGAATGCAGTTGCGGTCTGAACTTAAGGAGAATTATTAATATTATTTATTAAATTAACCATTGAATTACATTTTTATTTTTATTTTTCATCTTTCTTTGTTGTCTACAAGTGAATTTATCTTTAGCTTTACATTACACATATCACAGAAAACAGGCAACACAAATACATTCAATATCATCACATCAAGAATATTATACACTCAATTAAACCCTATTTATACTTAAAACCCAATATTTAAAATTGTAATGGCAGTCGGCACAAAGGACATTTGATACACTTTACTTGAGGTTGCCTGTAACGTCTTTTTGATGGCAAGAGCTGAAACTTTATATTTAAGTGATGGGAACAATCTTCAATAATGACGTGATCTCTGTTTAATTCTCATTAGATACATTTTCTTTATTTGTCTTTGTGCTTTACCTACAATTGCACTGGCAATTTTTACTATTCAACACAATTTTCTTAATCAATCAGCAATCTATCTAAAACTACTATTATTTGTACAGTAAACTCGCTTTCCCAATATTTATTAAGTTCTTCTTTAACTGGAAGAGTCTCAGTTTAACCCCTTAGTGAACCCCAGTATACAACCTTTAGCTCTTTTACATTTCTAAACATGCTTTGAATTTCCACCTGCAGCATTGAGAATAATTATATGCTGAAGGTTCCACATCCTGTTCTCAAGGACTAATATTTTATCCTGTCTTATTTCTTAAGCAAAGATGTCAATGTCAATTTTATTTATATAGCACTATTATATACAACCAAAGGTTGACCAATGTGCCAAACAATACAAATCACAAAGAACAAGTATAAAATTATAGCTAAAAACAAACAATTCTCACTAGTAAACTGAAAAATCAAAAAGCTAAGTTTTCAATCCAGATTTAAAAACAGACAGAGTTGATATGGACCTAATACAGAGGGCCAGAGCATTCCACAAGGTAGGACCAGCTACTGCGAAAGCCAGGTCACCTCTGCATTTCAGCCTCGACTCTGGGATGTATAATAGTCTCTAGTTAGATGACCGAAGAGACCGACCAGGCTGATGTTCAGTCAACAGGTCTGACAGGTAAGGAAGGAGCCAGGCCATTTAGTGATTTAAAAACCAAGAGAAGAATTTTAAAAGTGACACAAAAGTGATTAGGCAACCAGTGCAAAGAGCGCCAAAACTGAAGTGATGTGGTCATATTTTCTGCTACCGTTTAAAAGCCTTTCAAGCAGCATTTTGAACTCACTGTAGGTGGGATCGAGTTGTCTGACTGATCCCAAAGTATAGCGAATTACAGTAGTCCAATCTAGAAGTAACGAAAGCATTAATTATTTTTTCAAAATGTTTTCTAGATAAAATAGGTTTGATTTTTTTAAAAAGTCAAAGCTGAAAAAGCAGGAATTGACCACTGAGATAACCTGTTTATCAAATCTCAAGCCATCATCAAAGATAACACCCAGATTTTTTACCCAAGGCTTCACAGGAAAACCTGATTCTCCGAGATCTACTGGTGGGGTCCTAAAGAATTTGACGGGGCGAACACAATTTTTTCAGTTTTACTCTCATTGCTGATCAAGATGTTGATGCCAAATTGTACACTGTACTGCCATTACATATTACTGGTCTAGGCATTGTGCAGTATACTGTTTTCAATTATTGTGAATTTTGTTGCCATTTGTCTGTTATTTTCTTTATGTGTGTTGCATAATTTCCATCCATATACTCCAAGCATTGATCAACTTCTTGATCAGTTTTCTGCTCTGATCTCAAGCCTAGGCAAATAACTGAAAAAGCATCAATCAGAGGCCACATTTTTATAATGTCATCATGTAGACGTCTTACAAAGTGTTTTACAGTATTTTAAAATACCAAAATACAAGACACTAAAGTGTTTTGATACAAAATAATAAACCATTTTCATAAACCCTGTCAAATACAAATAACAAAATACTTATTTGTATTTGAAATACTTCTATCATAAATACTGCCCATCCCTGGTGAACACAAGGAGAATATGCAAACTCCACGCAGAAATGCCAATTGACCCAGCCGGGGCTTGAACCAGTGACCTTCTTGCTGTGAGGCGATTAAGAAGTTTTATTCATATTGTTAATTAAATTACCCTTTAAATTGCATTTTATCAACACCTACCCCAACCCACACTGTAATGTAAAAATAGTAGGTATTGTTGTACAGCCTAACAAAATTCATGCTTTATTGATGTGCAAATCCACAGCTGTATCCCTTCTAGACCAAATAAAACCCCTCCTAACTGCATTAAAAGTGCTCTAAACGGTTAACACATTCCCTGTATCATTTCTCTGTGTGTTTTCAGGAGAAGCACGCTCAGCTGGTGCGCAGAAACAAAGAGCTGAGGGAAGAACTGACAGCATGAGCACATCTCTACATCCCCCACCCCCCTCCCAATACCTGCGACCCCACCCTTCTCACCCCGCCACCGCTATCCCATGTAGAAAAGAGCCTCTGACACCCCAAATCCAACCCCCCTTCTGCCCCGTCCCGCCCAGGCCAAGGGAATCGACCCGCCCCCCTCACCAACCGCATCCTCCCCATTATAGTCCATAAGACAAAAGGAACACAATGTTTTTGATCAATTCCAAACCAGTCAAAGTGGGTGTGGTTTTTTTGTAAATACTTCCTGTTTGTTTTATATGAGACGATGAAAAGTATTGCGGTGTGCCATTTTTTAAAAGTTTCTCTCTGTATCTTTCTCTTTTAGTGGATGTACTTGTTTCTTCTTCTTCTTCTTCTTCTTCTCTTTTTCTCGATCAAATCTGCTACAGTTTCTCTCGTACCAGGCTTTGGTGTTTGTGAGTTTGCTGGATAGCTGACATTTGCAACGTCTTCTTGAAACCCAACGTTCTCTGATGTCTGTTTGGAAAGAATAAAAGACACCACAGTACAGTACCGTACAGGTTGCAAACAATATTTACAAACAGTCTCTTACAAAGTCTTCATACATCCATACAGTGGCATATAGTCATGACACAAAGACACACACACACACACTCATATAAATGAGTTTAGTCAGCATGATTTCCATGTTGCTCAAGAGGAGTTGTGAAATTAGCCATGGTTAAGTCATATGATGTCTCTTGACCCCTGTTTGACCAGTCTGGGTTGTATTTGTATTGACAGCGTAACAGAAAGTGAGTTCTTGAGAATTGGGTATTGTTCTGATTCTTCAAAGAATTTTTGGAGGGTGTTAAAATTGATGTGTAAGTGTGTGTGTGTGTGTGTGCGTTTCGAGAACAGTGCGGGTGGACGGTGTTATAATGTGCCATTGCTCTTGTGTAAGTCACCAAACCAGCCCACCCTCATCTTTCTCCTCCTCCAGCTGTGTGTTTTCTTCCCTTCACACATGTAACTTTGGGAGCAAGCTGTGGTGAATAAAGGCTTGGGATTCTTGGAATGAGAATATCTGTGTTTGGTTCTGCTTTATTTCATACAACTTGTATTAACACACACACACAAAACATTTTTATTATGAATAACTTATGAACTTAAAGCGCAATACCTTTGTTTACCAACAGATGGCAATAAAGACTTATAAAAATAATAATGAGATGACAAGAAAATACGAATCTTTTATTTATTTTCCTCAGCTTAGGCCCTATATCATCAGGGGTCGCCACAGCAGAATGAACCGCCAACTTATTCAGCATATGTTTTACAAAGCGGATGGCCTTTCAGCTGGAACTCAGTACTGGGAAACAGCCATAAACACTCATTCACACTCATACACTATGGCCAATTAACACACACCACGCAAACACAGGGAGAACATACAAACTCCACACAATGCTAACTGACCCAGCCGGGACTCGAACTAACCTTCTGAGGCGACAGTGTCTGTCAGTCTGTGTCGCTCCTGGATTTGCAGTAGTAGCCTATTATTTATGCATGATAATCCCACATGAAAAAAACAATATTTAGGGCCTACGTGTATTTGTACAACACTTTGTAATTCAACTGTCTCTCATTTTCAACTTGAGCTTCCACTAATGGATAAAAAAAAACGAAATGTTCGTCGCGACTATATCGTCTTCACTGATATGACGACCAGTTGAGAGCTGCTGCACTCATCTTAAAATCCTATAACCGCTTTTATAACGAGCCCATGACTAAATTCCATTTGTTCAAGCTAACGTGAGCCAAGTGAGAGGGGATGAAGTAACGACTGAGGTAAAGTGAAAGTTTATAGGTTGAATTAATCTAAGAATGATAAAAGCTTGCTAAATGCTTAATCATGCTAGTTACATGTTCTCTAAATATTGTGCTTCATCATGCTGCTAGGTACATGTTAGCATTCTAAATCTAAAAAACACCTATCTATCTATCTATCTATCTATCTATCTATCTATCTATCTATCTATCTATCTATCTATCTATCTATCTATCTATCTATCTATCTACCTTTCTATCTATCTATCTATCTATCTATCTATCTATCTATCTATCTATCTATCTATCTATCTATCTATCATCTATCATTAAAAAAAATTTGAATTATGTAAAAGCAAATGTGAATTTGTAGGAACAAAGAGTACTCAAATATTCAAACATAAATATACCTAAGATGCCAGATGTTGATACAATAATTTATTTTGGCTATGTTAGTACGGTAATATTATAGTTGTGCACCACATTTATTATAGTACATTAAATAAAACTTTACCTCTATTTGCAAATATATACAATATAGGTAAGCTTGACTCTAATTCAGAGATGCCCAAACTAGGGCCTGTGGGCCAAAGTTGGCTCATGGTATGTCATGGCCTTTTATTTGGCCCATCATCCCATCTGAGAAGAGAAAGAGAATGATGGGGATGGTTAAGAGACTGTCATTTCTAAATTAATGTAACATTTTGTTTGTTTGTTCATTTCATTGCTATTAAAACCTAACTGAAATGAAATGTTTTAAAATGTTTTAAATTATTCAGATTTTTTCCTAAAAGTACTGTCACCTGACGGGTAGAAGACAATGCAGAGACATCAGTGAGCAAATGAAGGCAATTGCAGATTTTGCTTGACCAGTGTATTTAACATTGATTCCGCTGTTATAAATGTGATTGTTTATGTTTTTATTATAATAATTTGGCATTTAAAATAATATGCTGCATTAGTTTGATATATTTACATTCAGCCCACACCTCTCCATGATATTTGGTTTTTGGCCCTTCATACGAAAAAGTTTAGGCACCCCTGCTCTCGCTATTGTCGTTGACACAATTATTTGTCAGCCAATTCTTGGTGAAAACTTTGATAGTTCGGTCAGAATATTGAGTCAAGAGGTCAATTTGCATGATTAAAAAAAAGAAATGTTACTGGTCCAAACGATGCTGCATTTTGGGATACATTATCACCTGTATATGTATATCTAAGTGCAATAAGTAACTGTAATAGTAATAATATCTGTTCTTTTTTTGTTGTAGTCAATTATCAGTTGCCTATACCATCAATTTATGCTTTTGAATTGCATGAAGGGATCTTGATCTCTGCTCCAACAACTTAATGTATTTTATTAATTTATATTGACATGAGTAGTCTAAAAAATGATATACTCTTTTGTCTGTATTCATACATTCATTCATTTTCATTCAGCTTAGTCTCTGTATTTCAGAGGTTGCCACAGCGGAATGAACCACCAAGTTTTCCTGCATATGTTTTACACAGCCGATGCCCTTCCAGCTGCAACCCAGTACTGGGAATCAGGTATGGATTTAACCAATAAGCAAGGTAAGCAGCCGCTTAGGGCCTCAGGAAATCTTAGGGCCCCAAATAAATACCTAAGTATAAATGATACTATACATATAACATTGCTTTCTGTCATATTTTGTATGGTGAGGGTCCCCTGCTTTCAGTCTCCACCTTTTTAGTTGTGAATTCATCCTAAGAAAACAAATCGTTTAAAAAATTTTACAAGGTGCTTTACATGTTATTATTAAGATAAAATGCAGAAAAAGAGATTGAATGATATAAGAAAAAAATGTTAAATAATAATAATAAAAACAAATGGCCACACAGTTGCGCAGTAGGTAGTGCTGTCGCCTCACACCAAGAAGGTCGATGAGTCGCTGATTCGAACCTCGCCTCAGTTGGCGTTTCTGTGGGGAGTTTGCATGTTCTCCCTGCGTTCGCGTTTCCTCCGAGTGCTCCGGTTTCCCCTACAGTCCAAAGACATGCAGTACAGGTGAATTGGGTAGGCTAAATTGTCCGTAATGTATGAGTGTGTGGATGTTTCCCATAGATGGGTTGCGGATGGAAGGGCATCCGCTGTGTAAAAACGTGCTGGATAAGTTGGATGTTCATTCCACTGTGGTGACCCCGGATTAATAAAGGGACTAAGCTGACAAGAAAATAAATGAATGAATGAATGAAAAAAAAAACAATTAAAGTACAAAGGTGCATGTTAGAAATTTTGGGTCCCATTGCTGGAATTGCTTAGGACCCAAAAAAAATCCTTAAATCCACCCCTGCTGGGAAACTCCCATACACACTCAAACACACACACACAATTATACACTGCGGCCAGTTCTATTATCCAATTCACCTACAAGCGCATGTCTTTAGACTGTGGGGGAAACCGGAGCACCTGGAGGAAACCCACACGAACACGAGGAGAACATGCAAACTCCACACAGAAATGACAACTGACTCAGTTGGGACTTGTCCAACGACCTTCTTGCATTTGAGGTGACAGTGCTAAACCACTGAGCCACTGTGCTGCCTTCTTTTGTCTCTACTGAACGTGTAATTTACAATACAAACATAGAATGAGCTCCCGTTACTATTAATTTCTAACTTTGTTCAAACAAAGTGCTAAAAATGTCAATCCATGTCACTTTTTCAACTGCAGAGTTCAATCAAAGTTCCATAATGCAATTGAAAAGAGTAAATAAAGAAGAGCTATTAATTATAGTCCACAGGGAACCGTCCATTAAAATGCAGGTATTTTATCCATGGACGCAATTTGCATACTCCATAAATAATATAAATAGTAGGCCATTCCAAACCCGAAGGCATTACCGCTGCAGTATCTACTTAATATTCCAATTTGAGCAAAGTCCAACCTTCACCTCTGAGGGCAAAACACGCAATAAAAGCCTCTAAAATGGGTTTCAAGGCAGCTAGAGTGCAATAAAGCTGTGTGTTGGCAGTGTGTAGGTGGCAATCTGTTTTACGGTTTTGGCTGGCAGTTGAATTACTTGTGGTGTTGGTGGTGGTGGCGTGGGATTGCACCGCACCAGGAGCTCAGTAAACTGCAGTGATTGCTCTGGGACAAAGCTGCACTGTGCAACCCTCTCCTCCCACTTTTCCATCTCTCTCTTCTGGCTCTTTAGCACTCTCTTTCCTCCGTGTGCAGTGCGGGCCAGCCAGGCTGCCATTGTCCAGGATATCCCTTGGCTGTTAATGGCTTCCTGGATACATAGAGAGGCCACAGAGAGGCCCCGGGCCGTGTTTGATATCAGTTCAAAACGCACGCATGCAGGCACTGGTTCAAGCCTATAGAAATTTGCAGTGCCTCATCATGCTGGCATGAAAGAAGCTATTCATGCCCAAAGGCTTTTTTTATGTATATCCACCTGTGACTGGAACATTTGGAACATATCCGGATGATAAAAACATATGAATGCGGTTTACTGTGACCGTTTATGTGTGAAGTTTTGAGCCTTTGAAGTTTGGCCTAAAATCATCATGATTTAGATGTCAGTGAATATGGTTGTAGAATTATGGTACAGAATGATGAGTTTTATTAAGAAACACAAGTTTTAATTTTCTATCTTATACTGTAGAAAGTTATTTTTTTTTATTTATGTTGTGGCTAATGTTAGATTTAACCTTATGTTACAGTTTTTCTCAGTCGCTTTGGTGCGTTTCTCACAACACCAGTGCATTTCTGCACAACAGTTTCTCAAAACAATTAGTGCAAACTGCAAAACCTAGCTGATAACCTGCAAAAGCGCATCACTTGCTCAAAATGGATAGTTCATTCCTCAAAACCAAGTATTGATGTCAATCAAAGTGTCAGTATCATCAAAATGAAAAGTCTTGACACCATTGTTTATGAACAAGATAGTCAAATGGTCACAAAAGTCACATTTTTTCAATGCAAAAAAGTCAGATTTTGGTGACACTTCCTAAAAAAAATCTAAAGATAGTACTATATACTATTAGTACAGCCAATTGAAAACTACAGTAAAGTTAGACATCACTGCATTTAGTGAGGTATCTGAGTACAAGACACTGAATATGTATGTTTCACATTTTTTCTGCATTTGCTCTTTACTATTTGAATTTTTTCACAGCATTGTGCAGAAGAATAAATACACCCTTATTTACAACAAACATAAACTTACTTTGGGTTGAACTGTGCACAACTGTAAACAATATTGCAGAACATATTGGAACTGAACCAACATACATACACAGGTCTGTAAATCATTCATGAAACTGAAGACATTTTCAGTAAAATAAAGATTTAAACATTTTTTATAAAATTAGCTTGCAAGATTTTGACAACTAGTTCACCATTTTTGTATGTAATTACTCAAGTAACTCAAGTACTCAGCATTTACAAGTTTAGTTAATTTTGACTGACATGACATAAGCAAATGATAATGTTATAAATAGCAGAGAGTTGTATGAAAGCAATTGATGCATGTGCGAAAGCATTTGCAATTTGCTGAAAGGAATGAGAAACTGCTACTAGGATGTGCACAAATGACTAATTGTTTTGAGAAATGTTGTGCAAATGTAAATAGTGTTGTGAGAAATGCACCAAAGCGACTGAGAAAAACTGTAATATAGTTAATATGTTATATTTCAACTATAAATGTAAGTCTAAATAAATGTAAATAAAAAAGAATTTAAGTTTTACAACACTGTTGGAGCTGTTGGAGCAGAAATTGAGACTCATCAGATCAGGCAACATTTTTCCAATCTATAATTGTGCAATTTTGGTGAGCCTGTGGAAATTGTAGCTCAGTTTCCTGTTCTTAGCTGGCAGGAGTGGCACCTGGTGTGGTCTTCTGCTACTGTAGCTCATCTGGCTCAAGATTGGATGTGTTGTGCGTTCAGAGATGTTCTTCTGTATACCTCGGCTGTAACGAGTGGTTATTTGAGTTGCTGTTGCCTTTCTATCAGCTGGAACCAGACCAGCCCATCTGGCATTAAAAACCATGCCACAATCAAAGTCACTTTAATCAACTTTCTTCCCCGTTCTAATGCTCGGTTTGAACTGCAACAGATCGTCTTGACCATTTCTGCATGCCTAAATGCGTTGAGTTGCCATGTGATTAGCTAATTAGAAATTTGCGTTAACGAGCAGTTGGACTTTCTTAGTATTGGGTTGCGGCTGGAAGGGCATCCCATGTATAAAACATACACTGGATAAGTTGGCGGTTCACTCCCCTGTGGCGACCCCTGATTAATAAAGGGTAAAGTCTAGATCAGATTTGCGGCTGGCCGGAAGTGCGATATGTACATCAATTATAGCAGCATTTTTTTATGAAACTGTATAACAATAATTTATATTTTTACAGTACTGTGACGGTTGGGTTTAGGGTAACCTAATAGATAGCATAAATAATACTCTGTACAACTACTATTTTTACATTACTGTGACGGTTGGGTTTAGGGTAGGGGGTAGATGTTAATAAAATACAATAAATGGGAAATTTAATAAATAATTCTTGTTAACTTCTGGCCGCAACCATATCTGATCTAGCAACAACCTTACTAAAGGGACTAAGGGGAAAAAAGAAGATGAATGAATTAGCAGTTGGACAAGTGTACCTAATAAAGCAGCCGGTGAGTGTATGATAAAATTAAATTGAATTTTAAATTAAATTAAATATATAAACATTTCAATGCTGTGACAAAATTTTGAAATTATGAAATTATATTGTACTGCATGAAAATTAGTTCATATTGAGAATTTTGTAAAAAAAAAAAAAAAAAAAAAATTTTAAATTGTCCAAAATTTGTTTTTAAAGTTATATTTTAAGTATATTTTATTTTCAATATTTAAATTAATTTGAATAAATATCTATATAAATTAAAAATAAAACAAAAAACTAAAATCAATTTAAAATAGTAAATGAATGAATACTGCTTTTAGTCAATGTTCCAATTAGGTATTATAACATTATGATGTACAGTATGAAGAAGATCTAATAATTTAGAATTTTGTAACAAAAAAAGATCAAAATTTGTTATTAAATATATAATTTCTTATTTAAATTCTACAAAAAAAACAGACAGCTGGTTATCATTTACTTGTTAGAATATTAAAATCATATAATAATTATACAGTCATTCTAAAATTCCTCAGTGATGTCAAACTGTAACTGTTAATGTACTACTGTATTTTGCATTCATAATTTTGAATGTGTGTATGACTATTAAAAAAACACATGAGCACAAAAATCCAGAGTTGTTAGCTACACATATTTTATTACAGGAAAGTCACACAGGTTAGTGAGGGACAGGCACAGTACCACATCATCTCTTCCAGTACTATCTATTCACCTAATCTTATCTGATTTGCCAGTGTAAAATCCCTATTGCCATAAAAAAACTGGTTTTCCAAAACACTCCTCAAGTACAGATAACTGTAAGAGAGAGAGAGAGATGATTTGAGCATAAAGGGCAAACATATGCACATTTTCTCTATTAACAAACCTAATAGTGCCTTCGCTACAATTAAATTAGAGCAGCTCTGAGAGATTGTCTATCTAGATTGTCTCGATAAAGATCCATTTCTGCAAACAGCAAATTCATTACATCTAAAAAAAAAAACACACTGCAGGTCACTGGACGTATAATCTTTATAAAAATAAAGTACTCATCGAGTTCAGCTGAGGAATACATAGGTTGCATAGATTTCACATATTTTTGTGAAGGGAAATTTCCAAAACATCAATGTCATTGCATAGGTTTTTCCAACATATTTCTAAACATTCAAAGTAATTCCCGGAGTTAAGAGGCTAATTTTTGTTGCATGTGGACTAATTGTTCCTGAACTATCTTTATTGTTATAAAATGAGCATCTGGTTTGAGTTTAACATCAATTCAGTGATGCATTTGGCTTCAAATGACCTCTCTCTCTCTGCCTGGTTCTCATTTTATATACTGCGCCCTCTAGTGCTCACATTTGTCTTTAACCATACAAGTATTTATTCAATCATTTTCCTTCTGCTTAGCCTCTCATTTTTCAGGGGTCATCACAGCGGAATGAACCGCCACAATAGAAGTATGTACCCTTCAAAAGGAATAACTTTCTGTTTATTATGGTTTTTTATGAACAAATCATAGATGGGACCTCTAGAGGGCGCAGTATTCAAAATGTGACATTTTGTATAATTTCTCCACTGAGGGTGTGCTTACAGGACACTGTTTTCAACCAAAAACTGAAGGGTTATTGCATTTTGGAAGGTTTAAAACAAGTGTTAAGTTCACTTTACACGACAGCAGTGTTTTAGGGGCGTGAAAATGCAAACAATCAAAAATGTGCGCAGTCGCGTAGTGTTTATTTACAAAGCGACATCGCCAACTACTGGCCTGGCATGTACTGTACAATGCGCCGTTTTTAGTTGTTTTTGCAGATCCACATGAAAGGGAATCATTTTGACAACACTGTTTTCAGTATGCCAAATTTTAAAAAATAAATCACAATTTTTAGTACATCACTGTCGAGTAAACGTACACTGTAAAAACTATTTGTTAATTAACAGTTTCTGTATTTTGTGATTCAGTTTTCAGTTTATTTACGGTTGTGCATTATGGGACCTTGATCTCTGCTCTGGCGACTTTTGATGTTAAAAATTCAGCTTTACAGTTTAACAAAGTGACTTTTATTGACATTTTAGGAGTTTGAAAAAATAAATTTACACTGTAAAACCCAACAGTCACTTTAGCAAGTGAAACGAGTGTAGTTAACTCAAAATTGACTGAGAGTTCATTCTACTCATTTGAACTCAGTGTTGGAGCTAATGAGTTAATTAAATACCTCATTACTTCAATTTAAATGGAATAAGTTTTTTAAAAGGTTTGTAGCATTTTGAGCGTTTTAGTTCTCTTCATTTATTGGGTTTTACTGTGCTCAAACTGCTTTGTTTACTCAAATGGATTAAGTTCACAGTACTCATCTGCATTAGTTTTTAAACTTAAATAGTTTGTCGCAATCGGTTTCTTAAATGGTTTGAGTTACCTTGACTTTTTGGGTTTTACAGCATATAAGAAATAATATATAGAGAAATAAGTCTGTAAAATAACAGAACATGTACTGGCAGCTTATTACAAGGGTTTTGTACCGTAATATACAACATCAACCCAGACAATTTATCACTTTAAAGTATTAAAATATTTTAAAAAGTCACTTTTTCTAAAATTTCAAGGTTAAAAGCTGTTAGAAGAACATTCAAGGTCCCATAATGTAATTCAAAAACATAAATAAAAGGGGAAAACTTCAAAATAAAAACATGAATCACAAAATATGGAAGATATTTTTTACAGTGTACCCTGAGGGACAAAAGGACTAAATCAGTTGGGTGAAAATTGGACCATTTCCAAAACTCATCACCTGCTGAGATGGGACAAGCACAGTCGTTCTGGTTAGTAGAGTGGATCTGTATTCGTGTCTTCCCTTTGTACAAGTCTGTTTCTGTGCATCTGTTCAAAATAGTCTGATGTTACAGAAAGAAGTCATTTCTAAAAGCGTTCGTGTTGAGTTCAGAAGGCCCCTATTTCCATGCTCCAGGGCCTGTAGGGCTTCCCTAGGCTGCTGGAGGGCGTTGCGGGGCCCAGTGAGCTTGGGGACAGCAGAGGAAAAGCACTCAGTGGGAAGGGAAACGCTGACAGGCTTGAAAGTGACGTCAGGAGGGGCGGAGAAAGCTTAGATGCAGTAGGTGGAGTGAGGCCTGGGGGAAGGGAGGTACTGGGTGGCACCCTTAGCGGTCCCGTCTGCCCTGCCTCACTGATCACCGTCCCGCTCAACCTGGGCTCTGTTGACGGGGCGGAAGGAGACGAGGAGGAGGGCGATGATGAGTTTGAGGATGGAGGACTGCTGGTACTGCGCGCCAGTGGCGCCCCCTGCTGCTGCTGCTGTTGCAGGAGGAGGTGGTGGGCCAGGTGACTGGGAGGCGTTCCAAATGCAGAACCCCATGCCAAGTGGCCCAAACCCGAGTGAGCTTCTCTCTGAGAGGCGTAGCTATTGAGATGTGAAACCAGACGGATGCGGAGGGGATCTGTGTTGTCCAGGCCCTCGATGATACTGAGGTAACGTGCAGTCTCTGCTAGACATTCGCGGAAACCCAGTCCTCGGTAATCCATGGCCAGAGCGTGAGCATCAAAGTAACCTGTGCGACAGAGAAAGACAGCGTTGAGTGATCTGATCTGATTATCATTACAGGAAACACACTGTGCAGTTGGTGGATCACAGTGGGAGTGGCTGAGGGCGAAACAGAAATGTCACTAGATAAACAGCAGAGATTATAAAGCACTTTACACATCTAGTTTGTCCTGTTTGAGTCGTGCAGGAGCTAGTAATTATTTTCACTGTGGGAATTTCCTTGAGCAGATTCCCAAACTTTGGATGATCTAGTAATGCAAAGGTAAATACTACAATGAATGGTGAAGTTTGTCGAATTGGTGAGACTTTATAATAACTTTCAGCATTCATGGATGATTAGAAAATATTCTTATGCATTAAAGAGTTTAGTATTGAATGTTTTTAAACATCTAAAAAGCATATTCTGATTTTATTTGTAATATAAATACAATCAAATATTACACATTATGAAGCATATATATTTAGTGGTAAAACCTTACCTTTTCCTCCTGCAGCATGAAGCATCTTTAAATGATCTACGGTCATCTGCAGAATTTCTGCTTTTTCTAGTTTAGCTGAGCCCTGAGGACAAGAATAAATGTGTTAAGTGGTTAAAAGACTATAAATGTACTCTCAGTGACTACAACACATATCCTCATTTTGGTTTCATATATTTTGTTAAACATTTATAATGAACAATTTTCTAATTCAAAATGTCAAATAATAAGTGGTGGACTGGTCAAATAAATAAGTATTTATTAATTTGTCTACTTGTAAACTCTCTTAAGAAATTGTAACTTTTACTTCACTGTCTTTTTTCAATAGAAATGATAATAGGCTACAGGATTAAGCCAAATTACTCGTGCTCACTGATTTGTTTTGCGATGTGAGTCAGGTGCACTGACAGTCACTCACCTGTTTCTCAAAGGCGCTGGGCACCAGCCTGCGCAGCTCAGATAAACTGTTATTTATCCGGTCCCTCCGGCGCTTCTCGATGATCTGTCCAGATAGATCGCGAAATCATTATTAACGCTCACTTGAGGACATTAAAGTCGTTTAATCGACGTTACAAATGTAAGGCTTCGCAAAGAAAAAAATGTCTTACCCCTCTGCGACGTTTTCTTGCTTGTACTTGAGAGGTTGTGGATGGAGACATTGACCCGAGTGGAGAATTCGCACCGCTTTAAAAACAAAACAGCAATACGATTAATACAAACGCAGAACGGGTTTATGAAGTGCAAATTGTAAACAACAACGTTGTTGATCCTGGAACAACATTCAAATCAACAAATTGAGTGCAAGTTTACACTTTCTGTTAGGTTTAGGATTGTAATCATGGTTTTGCTATTTCACTCATTATTTTCATCTGGTTTTTGGGGGGAAAAAAATAAAAGATTGATTTAGGTTTAGAGGTTGGGATTAAGTTTTTATTTTCAGAAAGCAATAATGTTCCAGGATAAACAATATCTGAAAAACATTTAATTTTAACCAGCATAAACCAAACGATTTCTAGTCAATATATCTGCTTCTGCCGGCAGACACGAATTACAGTTATTAACCTGAATTTTGGGCAGGACACAAATTAATTATCGTCCGTTGTTTATCTTTAAACTTTAGTTTTTTTTTCCAGAAATAAGCAAGTAGATGACTCAAAATAAATAATTGACATCTGACTTACGCATTTTCATCCGCACTCTCCTTCTCCACTTCGATATTCTCATCGAGCTCACTGTCCGACGAGCTGAAATCGTGATTTCTCTTCATTTTTCGACAGTTTAGCAGCGCGTATCCTCAGCGTGCGTCAGGTGAGACAAACGTTCATCCGTATGAACCGACTAGCTTTCCCACGGTATCATTTCAACTCCACAGCTCGCCAAGAGAGGCGTGTCTGAGCGTGCTGATAGCCAATCAGCGAGCACATCTGCGTGTGAGTGACACGTAGGCTGTTTACACCTCCTTTTTGCCCCGCCTCCCTTCTGAACACGCTCAACAAACGACCAATCGCGTGCGCGTCCGTGAGTGAGCAGCTCCGCCCGCGGGTTCCGCCGGTGCTCGTGTTGTCTCGCCCGGCTGAAAGGAGTGGCTGGCCGGCTGTCAGCACGCGCTGGCCGTGGGAAAGTTTCTTAGCTGAACGCTGATAACCAATGAGGGGCGACGGCCGTCTCCGGCGCTGGAATGAATGGGGCAATTGGTTGGGGCGACGGGCGGTCTGCGAGTGAGCGTGTGAACCTGTAATCTAATACTAACTCATCCGAAGGAGTGCAGTGTGTACGAGGAAGCCACCAACTCTAAATGCACTCCGCGAGGCTCAAACATGCACCTTCTTTGACGGCGTTCCAAAAGGTGCTTTACAATTTAAAGTGAACAGTCAATTTAAATGCATCAAAGGACACGGCGACGAATCAAGGAGTTTCCACTTGCTTATTATAAGCTCGTCAGGAATATTATATATTTTTAAACTTTTTTAATTATTGTGCACATGCATGCATTACTTACAACAGTTTGCACTGAAGCATAGCGAAAAAACTGTAAAATTAATATACATATAACTAATACTTAATTCAAAAGCTAATAGCTTAGGCTGTATTTCATCTGCTATTTTTTTTCCAGGTTTCAGTTATACATTCGTTATATTGTGTTTATATAAGTACAAACTTATTAAATGCATATTGAACTAGACATTTCAACACATTAAAAGTTACATTCTAATGTTAAACACATCACATTAGTGTTTAAACTGTAAAACATTTAAATTCTAAAACTTTTAAAAACTTAATCAAAAGTGATACAGTTGTATAATATTGATTAAAAAGTATATAGCTCAAAAATAAGACATCCAATAGCATTCAATTTAATTAACAAAATCATTTTTATCCTCATGGTATATTAAATACAAATGAAGTGTTGACTTTTTAAATAATTCTCATTGTTTAGGGGTTGTCACCTTAATTGGACTGAACAGTGGAGAGTGTCGAAAGAAATGTGGGGAAGCAGAGAGAAGGGGATGGTCTGCAAAGGATTTTGAGGCAAGAATCAAACTCGGGTTGCCATGAGCACCACAATGCTATATGTTGACACACTTAACCACTAGGCTATTGGCTCCAACAAAGTGTTGGCTTAAATGTTTTAAACAATATTTGTGAAAAATATGATTGAAGTATGATTATTCATGACAAAGCTATATTTGTATAAAAATTTACTTTATAAATTTTTTCTCATCTGCACTCACTGAAACAAAATAGTCGATCATTCTAAATGTTGGGATGCGGTGGCGCAGTGGGTAGTGCTGTCGCCTCACAGCAAGAAGGTCACTGATTTGACCCTCGGCTGGGTCAGTTGGCATTTCTGTGTGGCGTTTGCATGTTCTCCTCGTGTTCGCGTGGGTTTGGTATAGGCATGTGGTATAGGTGAACGGGGTATGCTAAAATTGCACATAGTGTGAGTGTGTAAGGATGTTTCCCAGTGATGGGTTGCAGCTGGAAGGGCATCCGCTGCGTAAAACATGTGCTGGATAAATTGGCGGTTCATTTCACTGTGACGACCACAGATTAATAAAGGGACTAAGCCAAAAAGAAAATGAATGAATTCTAAATGTTATTATATCTTAAATGATTAAACATCAAGCTATCAACTAAATTCATCAAATGATGTGTGTTCTAGATGCCACTTTTAAATTAAAGCAGAATAATAAATAACCATTCAATTTGAATGTAATAGACTATGCAATAAAATACTTTAAAATTCAGTTCACATCCCTTAAGAACTGTGAATGATCATCTGTAAGCTACGATATAATATACAGTGAAGCAAACATACTGAGCGCTGCAGCCTTAGACTGTATGATTGAGAAGATCTCTTAATCAATAGAGCCCAGTTCTGGTGTGTGCTGTTGACCGATACGCCGCAGCTGGATCCTTATCAGTCCGCGCACATCATGCTTAATTGTCATCGGTTCTGCATACATGAATGAGAGGAAGCTCTTTGGCTGATTTCATGTTGTTATTGCTACCAGCTTCGGCCGGACGGCATGGATGAACTTCCTTCAGAGGGGTGGCAGCAGGGTGGACCATGGGCCGTCACGTTTGTACGTGTATGTGTGTTTTCTATGTGCTCGGGGATGGGGGGGTGGCTCTTTTTTTGTCGCTGTAACTCAAGTTCGCAGAGGTTTCCCACGCTGTTATTTTCTACTGACGTTCTTCTTTGTTCTTGTGTCTCATCACATGTTGTGATTAGTGCTCCCTTTTGAAGGTGTGGGCCCACAACACAACAGTATTTCCCCCCACAAAGCATGCCAGAGCCTCTTCTCATTCCAAGCTTGAGGTTTTTGCTCCTCCGAGTGGGTCTCCATGTCGCCATGTTTTCATTTCAGTCTCTTTATGTCCATGCCAAGAAGCTAGTCTACCCACAAGGAGGGCAGACGATGGTTTAAAACGGACACGCTGCTTTCTTTGGAGTTATGTCTCTGTCTGAAGCCCATTTGGATGAGCTCATTTATCAGGCATCGATATTTCTCCTGCATCGCAAAACAAGCTTGTATTTCTTCTTGCAGATAAGTCAGTGCGTTCGAGTGCAACTGTTCACATCACTGCAGACTGTCTGCCTCACGCTGGGCCGTGGCGTCATGTGTTCTGCACAGACAGATGTTCAGCTCCCTGAAACAATGTGTGAAACAATCCTGCACTCCTCAGGAGGAGCAACAGGGCGACATGTTATTGTTTATAAATAGCAATGCATTGAGTCCACACAGGAGAGGAAGAGTGGCTTTGTTTCTCTCACTGAGAGAGGAAGCGCAGCTTTATTCTCTGAGATACATGTGACACCTTGCATTGTGTCATTTGTGGAAGTGTATCTGCGTGTATATGTGCACACACACCAAGACAGATTATATTCTCATCCGAGTGGCAAAGATGCTTTGAAGTCATCTCGAACTTTGATCCCTGAGCATTGGGTGAACTTTCCATACATCATCATGCATCTGTGTGAAGCATAGTGCTACTTTTTGTTTGGTTTTGCAGAGGTGGAAGTGCTGTAATGATGATCTGTAGGATGCCGCCTCCCATATTTGTGTCCTTTTCTCCAATGGCCTTGCTGCATTATCTCAGATACACTCTTAGACAGTGCCAGTATCTGTGTATTCAGAGCTTACTAAAAATAAAGATGTATATGTGGGTTTTTACTATTTTTGCCTTCCCTAAAAAACATTTCACACAAAAAAGGTTCTTTTATTGCATTGCTGCAAAAACACACGTCTCAAATCTTTTCGTTTTTAGGTTATAAATCCTTGAGTGGACTGATTTTCCACCATGCCATTAAAAATCCTTCTGTAAAAAGCAAATAGTTGACTAAAAAAGTGAATCAACCCATTGTTTTTGAAGCAGTTAGTAGACTTCAAATAAAAAAGTGAGTAAACGCCTTGCCTTAAAATGATTAAAGTTCATGTATAATCAAACTCTACATGCATTATCCTAGTGTATATCGTTAGTCTAAAGCCTGGCTAACACTTGCGAGTTTTAATAATCCTAAATTATTTTTATATGTCAGACTGCACGAACATGACACTCATGTCACACCTTAAGATCTCAGCGATCATTATGTTAGACTGAACGACAATGAAGACGCGCCAAACACTGAAGAAAACTCACCTGGGGCCTCATGTACGAAGACTTGCGTGGAAATCATACTAAAACATTGCGTAAGCACAAAGCTGTAAATGTGCATACGCAGAAAAAAATTCAGATCTCACCAAATATGCCAAATCTCACGCATATTCTTTTGTACATTTGAATGAGCGTGAAACTGAGCCCCTGGTGTTTAAGGTCATCCATCCATGATGCTTTCACTATTCTACTTTCTGAAAAAAAATCCTTAGAGCTAACTCAAACAATCTCTATCTGCAATTTTGCACACAGTGTGCCTCAATAAAAACCAAGAAACAAACAGTTTCGATATTTTCCTGCAGCGTTTTAAAGATTTTGTTTGCACAGATTTGTTGCACATATTGGTTCTTGGATTGACGCTCATTACTGAAAAGGGACTGACATTTTTCGGATAGTGCCAGAACTTCATCGGAGGTAATAATCTGATCACAACGGCCACCATTAAGCAACTGTCTATGAACACGTCAAACATCCAATATTAGCTTAGGATTTCAGGAATCTCTTAAGATTTCCCAAATTTGTCTTAGACAACCAAATCATGACTAAAAATCCCACGCTGTGAGCAGGGCTTTAAGGTGAACAATAAATCTGTGCAAGTTAATTCACTGTTTTTTTTTCGTAATCTTCAAAGTTTGACTATTTGGTGGGTCCTTCTCTGTTGATGTCATTTTAACCCTTTGGGCACAATATTCATAACCACACCCTTCTTACTATTAGTTTGCTACAAGGGAATGATGCGTTAAAAAGCCCCACCTACTACTTAATAGTTAGTTTCAGTTGGAAGTACATCCACATACTGAAATAAAAGTCTCAGCAACTTCTAATTCACACAGTCTTTAAGTAAATGTGTTTAATTATAAAACTGTATTTAAATCAACTTAACAGTTCCAAGTCACAATAGCCTGACTCACTTTTTTTAAGTGAAGTCAACTTGTTGCTTTTAAGGCAACAGCTTTAACTTACCTTTTTAAATGATGTAACTAATTACTTTTTACAGTGGATTTGTGTGCATGTAGCTATTATTTAAAAGTCCACAGCATAATTAAAGATGTAAGTGCAGAAAGTAATTAAATAAAGGTAGAAGCAGCATGAGTACAATGCAAAAACATACATTTACACAATAAGTACATTGTAACAAATGATTGATTTCTG